TTTAAATGGGTCCGAAGAAGTGCAAATGGGCTAGCTGATGGATTAGCAAAACAAGGGGCATTGAGACAGCAATTATTTTGGGCTACACTGTAATGAGGGATGAATAGAGTGAGGAAAAGGGATCAACAGTCCCATCATCAAATTGTATAAAATGTTTACAATCTGAATTTTAATAAAACACATATTTACTGATAAAAAAAAACAATAGGAAATTGCTATTCTGATAACATAATAAAGACGAGAAATTTTTTGCTTATTGGCATTTTCTGCATGATTTTCAGATAGGTAGGATTCACCTTAGAGATTTCATCACCTATGATTGATTGGTTTGGCATGCTTCACATGGAAGGGGGTTTGTGCCACACCTTGAAAAGTTTTTACATAAATGAAAGAAATCAAAGAAGGAGAGATAGAGATAGAGATAGAGACAGATTAATTGTATTGCCATCATAAGTTTTAATGAAAAATTTCTATTTACTTATCAAAAATATTTGTATTGCCATCCGAAGAGAGAAATTGGATTCCTCTTCAATGCATAAACTTCAAGAGTTGCAGAAAAACAAACTTCATTTTTCACTGACTTTAGAAAAAAAAATGAAAGGAATCAAAGAAAGGAGAGAAAAGAATGAGAGATAGACATAGAGACAGATTAATTGTGTTTCCATCAAAAGAGAGAAACAGGACTCCTCTTCAATGCATAAACTTAAAGAGCTACAGAAAAATGAACTTCATTCTTCACTAATTTTTGAAAGAAAATACACACACACAACTATCTTTGATCAGAGGCCTTAGAGACGTGAATCCCATGATGCCATTTTGTTATAGAAGTCTCTTGAGGAGTTTTCTCAAGCCCTACTTCATTGGATCAATGTATATGGACTGCTTTCCCTTCAGTTGTTTTCTCTTATGCCTATTTTTTCCGTGCTATGTCCTCTTCTTCGAGCCTGTCACAGTTGTTTTCAGTGAAAGAAATTTGGAGCTGACCAATACCTCCAAAGATTAGGGATTTTTTTTGGGAGGCTTACCATTCAAAAAATAATACTTGTAAGAACCTCCAAAAGAAGAGACCCAATTGGTGCCTCTCCTCTCATGTTTGTGTCTTATGCTTTTCTAGTGGAGAGTCAACTCACTATTTACTAATCTCCTGTGGTGTTATAGCTAGCATTTGGGAGTGGTTTGTTTGATGCTAATTTGATCACTTTGCCTACTAGAAGAGGAAGGGTGGTGTGGAGAACTACTAGGGTAACCATTCTATGGTTGTTGTAGATGGAAAGAAACGAAAGAATCTTCAATGAGATATCAAGGTCAAAGAGCTGACTGTAGAAAATATCAAAAGATAATTATAAAGGTAGCACATCAGGTAAAGACAATGGAATTGTTTGATGCTCTCTCCTTTGATGGCATCATAAGAGGGTGGACTGAGGTGGTTAATGCGGCTACAACCAAAAGAGGAATGATTGTGTGATGGAACCCATTGACTACAACTCAGCGAAAAAATGGATTTTGATGGATACAGTTTTGGGAATACTAGATTATTAGGCATTGGTGGAACTTTTTTAGAGATGCTAATGGAAGCATTGTAGTTATCTTCTCTAGACCAGTTGGTATTGGCAATTCTTTAAGGGCAGAACTATTATCTGTATTGCAAGGATTAAGATTGGGAAGAAACCTAGGGTTAAGGAAACAGTGGAAGGAGACTCTAAGGCGGTGGTATTGATGAGGAACAACAGTTAAGGGGTATAGCAGTGTAGGTTTGTACTGAGAAAAAGATTCTTGCTGCAAGAGCTTGTGGCTTCATTCCATTGGGTTAGCAGGTTGGCAAACAGCTTGGAAGACTCTTTAGCCAAGCAAGGGGCAACAAGGAATAATTTATTTTGGGCCAAGTTGTAATATAAATTAGATGCAAGGTGTTAACATTGTACATATGTAAAACTAGAAAGGGGTGCTGGCACTATGCACATATCTTTTTCTGTTAATTAATAAAGTTTTAATGGTTTACCCATAAAAAAAATACAACTATTTATAGAGAGAGGAAAACCCTAACCCTATTTAATAGTCAAACAACCAAATAAAATAAATCAAAAAATTAACATGAAATATCTTGGGGCACATTCTTGAATATTCTCTTCTAGCTTATTTGTTTTGCTCAAACATGGGCCAGGTTGAGAGGCCCATAAGCCTTAAATGAGGGGATTGGCCCCAATAGTGAAGACCTAGGGCCTAAAAAGGATGGCTGGGTGATGTTAAGACTTGAAGGCCAAAGGATGAGGTTAGGAGGGGAGGGAGGGAGGGAGACCTATTAATGGGTCGGGCTCAAGCTTAGCTTTTATCAAAATTTGATTGGGCCTGGCCCAAAGCCCAAGCCTGAAACAGTGTAAAGCCAAGCCCGAAGCTTGGTCCATGAATGGGTCTATTTGGGGGAATGAAAGGATGTAAGGACATATGGGTGGTGTAATGATTTCTTGAAAGATAAAGAAAGAAAGTATAGAGAGAGAGAGAGAGAATCTGCTGGAATCACTCAACATGGTACCTATAATCACTCTAGGTCTAGGGCATGGAAATCACTCACCACAAATAGCATATTCTGTGAGATCTCAAATAAACTTCGTTCATTCTTGTTTAAAATGTCCATACATATTTGTAGACTGGTAGACCCATAAGAAATACTAGTAGGACTCAAAATAGAAAATTACTGAATTGCCATTTTCCTATTTCAATTTGAAGATGACTTAACAACTCTTAAACTATTTATTCAATGATTCTGAAACTTTAAACATAAACCAACTATAACTAGACAAATCAGACCCCATAAAAAACTTGTAAAGTGACTTAAACACCCCTAGTGTCCAATTCAGACCAATTCCCTAGTTCCATTAATGTGCCATATCAGGACCTGCTGTAGGGCCTTACTTCTAGAATAAGTCTTCGAGGGTGCTGAATAATCCCTACTACTGGGCCTGTCCAATTGGGCTAGGCTTGGGTTTTGGGATGGGCCTACATCAATAATGCTACCACCAAAACTTATTTAGTTTTTGGACTTTCAAATATTGCAACACAAAAGAAGCTAAAACACAGTAAACACTAGAATATTCAAAAATAAGGCTCAGCCAAAGTACTTTTGCTAGAAAGCATCATGATTAAAGTGGCTAATTGGTTAAATCCTTGAAAGCATTTCAATCCTCCATGGACAATATCATTCGAGACTAGAAGAAAGTTGCACTTTCAACTATAATTAGGGCATAATTTTGTTGTAGTTAGAATTTGTCAGCCCATTGTATCATCAAGCTAAGTTATGATGAATACTGTTTAGACAACCTCGATCGGTTGTGTGCAGGGGGAGTACTTAGAAACATAAATGGGAGGATAATGGCCATATTCTCTGGGTCTATTGGCTGCCATGACAACTCAACAAGGGCAGAACTGTTGGCTGTTTTGCAAGGTTTGAAGCTGGTGAAAACACTTGACTACAAATACCTATTAGTAGAAGGGGATTCAAGTAGTTGTGAACTCGTTAAAAATAATGATAGTGGTTCTGGGTTTACCAGCATAAAGTGAGAGAAATATGAGTGGACTCAAAGATCTACTAATAGTTAAGCTGATTATTAGCAAGGCAGGGGCTAATAGAAGAGTACTTTTTTGGGGAGTCCCCGGAGTCATATGTAAAATGAATGCTTGTAAAAGGGGGTGAGGTAGCAGTTTCTAGCCTAAATTCCTATAGCAGTGGTTGGCACATGTTTTCCTTACCATAAATTAATGAAGTTTTCTGTTACCAATCATAAAAGAAAATTACTGCAACACAGAACAAATCAATGTTTTGGATCTTCAACTGTTGCAACATGACATGCAAGTCCTTTAAGTTACACAATGCTAAACATATAGATCCTGGTGCTTGGATCTTGTAGGTGAAACCTATGGTGGTGTGGCCCCAACAATATGATGTGCTTCAGTGGTTGTTAAGCTATCCTAGGTTCTAATTGAAAATTTGAAATGTGCTAAGATTTACCCAACCTTTTTACTGTATTGGCCTGAAACTTCTTTTGAAATGTTTGCTTTATCTGATCAACATGAATGAGCTATTAGGGACAACAATTTCTAGATTGACCTGAGCTTAAGTTTTCTTTATCTCTTGCCTTGCATAGCCTTCAGGTCTTTTGCTTGTGATAAAATCTCTGCTTTAATTAGTAAAGTTGCCTGGATTGTGCTCTAATCGGATGTGATCATGTGGAATTGGAAGGTTTTTTCCTCCTTTGCTTCTGCTGCCATTAAATTGCGGATATCAGGAATTCTCAAGTTCAACAGGTGGGATGTGGATAAAGATGGTAATGATAATACTTCAGAATACTACTTTGGGAGGGTGCTGAAAGAAACACTGCTGAATCTTGGTCCAACTTTTATCAAAGGTTAGTGATGGTTTAATAGACAATTGAAACAAATATTTAAGTTTTATCTGATCATTTCACCCTTACCATTCACTTCTTTTTTCTTGCTTTCCATAATCTTCTACAATTAACTTTTTTGCCACCCACAAAAAGAAATAATAAACTTAAAATTTTGTGTTTGATATTATCATAGATGTCTAGGGGACTAGACTATTTTAAATCCGGTTTACTTCTCACTCTTGTGGCCCCTTCAACTGAAATAACCATAGTACTTTTTTTATAAATTATAACATAGTAAAGGCGTGTTATGCAACAAAAATTAACATAAAGAGATGGACATAAAAACTGGTACTGCATAATGCTCTTTATCCAAAGATCAGCCAATGAGCTAGCAGATATGGGGGGGGGGGTGGTAGGAGTGAGATGTTTCAGGGCCTGGTTTGGGGCCCAGTCTTTCCAGTTTAGGGGCTGCTGGTCAGCCTGGATTTCTTTTCTTTTCCTTTCAGGGTTTCTTGCTATTTCTATACTGTTCCCTTTCTTGCTTCTGTTACTAAAATTTTCTCGATATGTTGTTACCAATGGAAAAGAAATCTAACAACACTTAATTGAATAGTTTGTGAAAAGAACCCCAAAACAATCATATTGTTTTTTTTTTTTGAAATATAAAAGATTCATTGATTAGAGGGTTTCAAGGAATAATGTTGTCCTGGGAACATGCACTTAAAAGTTATATAGTCAACACTTTATATGCTTTATAGTATATTGTGGTTTTAGTAGAAATCTGCTGAATTAAAAAATATGAAAGAAAATTCATCAAAAAAAATATGAAAGAAAAGTAGTTTCTTGAAGAGAGAAGGAAGAGAGAAGGAGAAGAAGAGAAGAAGGGAAGTTGAAAATAAAAGAGCAATCATCTGGCTGCCTCCTTCACTTATTATTTATACTAAAAATAATGGAGCAGTACAAAGACAACTATGCCCTTATAGGGCGGAAAAACATAAAACAGCATATATAACACTCAAAAAACATAATAAAATTTGGACTCACATAACTATTGTGGTCCCCACCTCCTATCTAACAACTAACATAAAACATCTACTCAAAAAAACATCATAAAATTGATTAATCTTCAACACTCCCCCTCAAGTTGGGAGTAAATGTCACACATTCCCAACTTGTGTAGATCATGTTTAAGCTTGTTCTTTGCCACCCCTTTAGTGAGAACATCAGCCAGCTGCAACTCTGAAGAGACATAAGGCAAACAAACTTCTTCGGTTGTTACCCTTTCTCTTATAAAGTGTCTATCAACTTCAATGTGTTTTGTCCTATCATGCTGAATTGGATTGTGGGCAATATTGATTGCAGCCTGATTGTCATAGTATAACATCATATGTTCCTCTGCTTTCACCCCAATCTCACTCAAAAGAGATCTAACCCAAAGAAGTTCTGAGACACCATGAGCCATGGATCTATACTCAGCCTCTGCACTTGACCTTGCCACAATTGCTTGCTTCTTACTCTTCCAGAAGATCAAATTTCCACCTACAAAGGTGCACACTCCTAATGTAGACCTCCTGTCATCTAAGCATTCTGCCCAGTCTGCATCTGTATAGGATTCTATCTTCAGATTCTCATGATTTGAGAAAAGAATGCCTATACCAGGGTGCTTCTTCAGATATGCAAGCATTCTCTCAATAGCTTCTCAGTGCTGAACCCGAGGTGCATGCATGTACTGGCTCACAACACTGACAACATAAGAAATATCTGGTCGTGTCATACACAAATACAGCAGTCGGCCCACCATTCTTTGATACCTCCCCAAATCCTTTACCAACTCACCATCCACGCCATTAATTCTGTGATTTGGATCAATAGGAGTGTCTGCTGGTTTGGTCCCCAGCTTCCTAGTCTCCCACAGTAGGTCAAGTACATACTTTCTCTGTGAAATGAAGATCCCATGCTTGGATCTTGCAACTTTAATCCCCAAGAAGTATTTGAGCTTACCAAGATCTTTGATCTCAAATTCTTGTTGCAATGATTTTTTGTGATCATCAATCTCCTCCAGATCATTTCCTATCACCACTATATCATCCACATACACAATCAGAATTGACACCAGAGCATCTCTCCTCTTCACAAAGAGGGTGTGATCAGACTGTGTTTGTGTGTATCCAAAACAGATGAGTGCCCCTCTGGACCTGTCAAACCAAGCCCTAGGTGACTGTTTCAGTCCATACAGAGATTTTGAGTCTGCACACCTTTCCTTTACCAACATTTTCATAAAAGCCTGTTGGAATGTCCATATATACCTCCTCTTGTAAATCACCATTGAGGAAGGCATTTTTGACATCAAGCTAGAACAAGGGCCATGAATGGGTGGCTGGTAGAGATAAAAGGATACGAACTGAACTCATCTTAGCTATTGGTGCAAAGGTTTCCATATAATCAACACCATAGGTTTGAGTATACCCTTTTGCTACCAACCTTGCCTTGTACCTCTCTATCTTGCCATCGGCCTTATACTTCACTGTGAATACCCATCTACATCCGACTGTCTCCTTATCTGAGGGGAGGTCAACTATTTCCCAAGTTTGGTTTTTGACCAAAGCATCCATCTCATCTTGCATGGCTGTTTTCCACTCAGGTTTGGAGAGAGCCTCAGTAACATTCCTAGGTATAGATACAGAATCCAGGGAAGAAAGAAAAACACGGTAGGAGGGTGATAAGGCACTATAGGAAAGATGGTGTG